GGATCCACTTATCTGTAAAACATGACATTTCTGGAAGAATTCAGGCTTTAAAAAAAGATCTGTTCTTTCGCAGCAAAGGAAAGACTAGTCCCCTTAAACAGTTTTCCCTGGCCCTCGCCCTGCCGAAATCCGTTACCTTGCACGCCAGCACGTCCCTTCCCGCACCGTGCGGCGCGGTGCGACAGAGCGCTGCGACCGCGACGGCCGCTTCAGGTCGCGATGCTCCCGGCCGGCTCCTATCCCGGATCAAGCCCAAAGGCTATGCTCGGACAACTCGGCTCACGGAGGTCGCCAGGTGCAAGCCATTAACCTTAGCTGTGATGTTGTAATGAAAGCATATTCTGAAGTGCTACCTTTTTATTCGCACGTCTGTGCATTGCCAAGTCAATTATTGATGCTTGACAACAGGCTGCTTGGTTTCTGCTAACATCACATTGCGCTTTGGAATGCGTGCGTATTCGCCAGATATAGGTGACTTTGTCTGACCGCGTTCGTTGCACCGAATCAAATATCAGGCCAGTTTATGTATGTACATACGACGCGAACATGGCGTCGCCGTGGGCCAAACGAAACGAAAGTGGTTCGCAGCGAGACATATTAAAGGGTTCAGGAAGACCACTGCTTTCGTTGGTTTGTATGGAGTGAGACCAAAGCTATTTGGCTCTCGGTACATTAACAGAACCAGCAAACCTAAAGTACTTTGACCGTCAGTGTTGAATGGCCTGCGACACGCTGCTCTGATGAATTCTGACGAAGAAAAACGAATGGGGGAATCAAGCTCAGCAAGCCTTTAGCAGGACTGCATTTTGTGCGAATGGAATATTTTTGCTTTAATAGTCACACATTGGTATCATTTGTGCAGCAGACTTGCGGTGGTTAACACGCGCCCGGGTGGCCAGTTGGATACCCTTCGCTCGTGGGGTCAATTTGCCTCTTCCCCTCCCCCACCCTCCTAGGATCTCAGGAGTCAAATAACCTAGAGACACCAAATTCACAGGGTGTATTGGACTGAACGTGAACCAATTTAGGTCAAAGTTTGAAATTCTGCGATCATGACCTTAGAATCAAATAAGGTTAAACAAGATCAAGCTCCAGGCTGGTCTCCAAAATTCCTCCAGACCTAAACACCTGTTCTGAGCGAAAGGCCACACATTCATTTAAAATCAGTGACCTTGTTTGACTTTCTGGGGGTCATGGTTATCAAAGTCATACAAGGCTGCTTTGAGTTTTGCATTTGAATAAGCGATAAAGATTACGCTAGGCAGTATGTTACTAAAAACAGAATGTGGGCCTGGGTCATTTTAGGTCGGTGACCTATTCTGACCTTTAAGAAGTCCATAGAAATGCATAATGTGATTTCTGGTATCAATAAACTCGAAATGAGCACCAGACACTACCCCACACAGCAAATCCCAGAGTAATAAAGCAGGTTGGTTTTGACCTTGGTCTGACCTTTATATCTCACCACAGGTCAATGAAATTTGATCATTCAATTTTTATTTTGCCCAAGAAAATATATCAGAGACAAATTACTTCTTCTAGCATTTAGTTAATGCATCAGATTGAACAATTCCCTAGAAATTTACTTCGCAGAATCCATGGCCTGATTTTGACCCGCTGTAGGTCAGCGGTCTTACATCTAAATTATATTTGAATTTTATCTCTAAATTTATATCTAATTATTGATGAGAATATTAAATATAACATCTATATCTAGACCGCATCTAAATTTTTAATACCAAAGGATCCGTTATGCAACTGTCTACAGCCACGTCAAATTTGATACTGCTACGCCGCACGTTCGGAAACTATTCCGGAAAAGCCTTCGGGGGATCAATTAAACACCCACCCGAGCGCGTGTTAGCATGAGGATATGCCTCTCTGCGTTGAATTCAGTATTAACCCAGTTTGATTTTCCAAATCAGCGAAGCATTGAAACATTTGAACCGTGGAAAAGCGAGGAGATGGCTGTTGGTTGCGTTATAATGATGAACAAATCGTTTCAAATGCTTCGGCGTAAAATCGAAACAGTGCAGTTACAGCTTGCGTGGTTTTGCAAGGGTGTGGAAATGCATGGTGTGGGTTTGTTTGTGCTGACGTTTGTTAAACACATGTTGTCATTAAAATTCGGGCACATAATCATGCATGGTTTTGCGGGAATTGACTACCACAACGAAGTAACAGAGTTTGCTGAGGCCGGTATGAAAAAGATGCATTCGCAATATAGCAATGCCAGTGGTAAGAATATTCCTACGTATTGTCATGTTTTCAACTTCTCAAGGGTTAACCATGGCCAAATTAAGCTCGAGATCACACGTTGGAGAACGAATGACTGGTATATACGCCGAGTTTCCTCGACTGTGAGAACTTCATCAGAAGGCGCCCACCTTTCGACTTCAAGAAATGAGGCGCCATTATCGCTAGAAGCAGCATCAGCATGCGGCTGCTCGTACAGGGCGATCAACACCACCATTGTCTAGGTGACGGGCGCGGTCCATTGATGCAGTCAGCCGCTGAGAGCAAATCCCGAGTGGCGGGAAATGCACGCTGACAAGAGCCAACGAGACGAGATTGCAAAAGCAATAGACGTCTTGCTGCTGAGCCTCACAAATCTCGCCGTCGGGCTGCAGCAAGACCACAGCATCAAGGCTGGCGGGATAAGTGCGCGGCTGTTGCCATATGAACTGAGCTCATACGGAAAGCTCTCATCGGCCTATCAGCCGCACACGAGCCCTTCAGTACCTGGCTCCCATGCCAGAGGCAGTCCTACCCATGATTCATCGATTTCCGGACAGCTGAGGACTTGTCTGCTGGGACGGCATGCCATGTCATCAGCTGCAGAAAGATGGTGCAATGACACATGAGGCGAATGAGACGAGGCAGTGTCTCGGGGGGGGGGGGGGGAAGAGATCTGGGCTACGGCTCCTTTCATTAGAAGAGAATCATTTCATTTCAATTTAATTTCGCAACTGGCCTGCACAATCCCCCGACGTAAGTCCCCAAAAGTGCTTCCTGTGGGGTGTGAAGTGCCACGTGTACTGAAAGAACCCGGAAATCATCCTAGACCTAAGGCTGCTCTTATGGATTTCTAATGCTCTTGAAAGTCGTGGAGCTAGAAACGTGCGATGCCGTCATTTCAGCATCTTTGAAAAGGACGGATAATAGGACGGACGGAAGTAGAACGGAACTGGATCGAGGTGAAGGATTCTTGAAGCACGCTTTGCACCGTTCAGGCTAAGTGAGTCGCGGAGAGATCGGCAGACAGGAACAAAACAGCATCGTACACTCTAACACGCGCCCGGGTGGCCGGCTAGATATCCTTCGCTCGGGTGGGGGTCAATTTGACACTGCTATGATATCGGGAACTAAGAAAGCTAGAGACACCAAATTTACAGCGCGTCTTGACCTGTACGTGAACTAACTTAGGTCAAAGTTTGAGGTCACTAGGTTATGGCCTTCGGGTCAAATAAGGTTAAACAAGGTCAAATTCCAGGTTGGTCCCCAAAGTGCCCTCAGAACATAGATAACCGTTTCTAAGCAAAAGGTCACAAGCTCAATTAGGGTAAGTAACCTTGTTTGACCCTTTGAAGGTCATGGTGACTAAAATAATACAGGACTGCCCTGAGTTTTGTACTTGAATAAGAGACAAAGATTACGCTAGGCAGAAGGTTCTTTAAAAAAATTGACCTGGGTCACCTTAGGTACATGACCTATAATGACCTCTAAGAAGTCAACTGAATATGGATGATGCGGTTCCTGCAATCGATGAATTCAAAATGTGCGCCGAAAAATATAGCATACAGTAAGCCCTAGAGCAATAAAACAGGTTAGTTTTGACCTTGGTCTAACCTTTATACCTGATCTTAGGTCAACTTAATTTGTTCATTCGATTTTTGTGTTGCCTGATGAAGCATCTCAAAGATGTATAGCTTCGTCAAACATTCCTTTGTTGCATCAGATTGAACAATTCTTCGCTGAAACCATGGCCTGAATTTGGCCTGTCATAGGTCAGTGACCTTACAAAGTACATCTAAATTATTCACACGAGCAATTTGCTATTCAATTGTCAACAGCTATGCAAAATTTGGCGCGGCTACGCCGCGTCGTTCATAAACCATTCCGGAAAAACCTTCGGGAGGGTCACTTTGACCGCCCCACCCGAGCGCGTGCTAACATTTCTGTCTTATTTAAATAGATGTGTGAAACTCAGTATACTCCGGCTTAAGTCCCTCCGTCCAATTTTGTTTGAACATCCTGTTTATTACAGGAATCCCTGAAACGCCAGGTCGGAGCGCTTTGATCTCGTTCATTTCCCGCCCGACCATATCGTCAGCGCTTCCACGACCCGAGACCCTCAAGATCGTTCGATTTCGCGAGAGCTTCAAATGCTTCACCAACCCTATTCGTAGACGGTTGGCCATGTCTCGGTGTAAACTTCGCGGAACAAACCTGAAGATCACGCGCCTGCTGGCCTAATACGAAGACACCCTCCCAATGGCTATTGCATTGCATAGCAGTTTGCCATTTTAAATAAGGTCACACACGGCATGTTCTTTACTTCACGGCGCCACTTACTCTGATATGGGGATCACCCGGTGAGGCCTTTTGACAACATATGGTGTCCGCCAGCAATCACATAGGTCCTCATGTCGGACACTCACATTGACATGATGCCCAATGGCACATGAAAAGCATTGCGTGTCCGGGTCTAGCTTGGAGACGTTTGGGTCTTAGACGACATCGATTCTTAGGTCCGCCCGCCGCAGGCCCCAATGGCGCGAAATGAACCGCGTTGCACAACTGCATACGATGATTGGCAGCACTTTTACAGCTGCGGTGCAAAGAGGAAGTTTTCAGCGACGTCATCACCAACAGCGGGTTCTTCGTCCGGCGCTGAAATCCACCGCCGCGTCCATCAGAGGTCCGAGCATGCCTCTTCCGCTCGAACCCCGGTCCTCCTCTGCACCCGCCTCATGCAGGCCCAGCAGCGCCTCACTCACCTGGCGCGGCCGAGGTCAGCGGCGGAGGGCTGATCAGTAGGGACACCCAGCACGCCCAGCCGGCCAGCAGCGGCCGCCGCCACACCGTCCGCATTCCGCACGCTCTCACTCCGCCCGGCGGAGATTGGAAAGTCCGCAGTCTGCTCAGTCCGCCCGGCGGAAGCTCGCTGTCCGCTCAGTCCACCCGGCGGAGGCCCGCAGTCCGCTCAATCCGTCCGGTGGAGGCTCGCAGTTTGTCAGTCCGCCTGGCGGAGGTCCGGAGGTCCGCAGTCCGCTGAGTCTGCCCGGCGGAGGTCCGCAGTCCGCTCAGTCCGCCCGGCGGAGGCTCGGAGGCCGCTCAGTCGGGCCTGCGGCTCCGACGCAGATCCATACTAAATGTTTGCTGTAACTTCTCGGCGGCGCCGCCCGACGTCGCCTGGAATAGGAGAGCAGCATTAGGCCAGATGGGCGTGATAGAGCAGAAGGATCGAGATTGAGTTTGCAACGTTTTCAATCAGCCGGCGGCGTGCGGCTTTGAAGCGCGTCGAGTGGCGCCGCGCCTCTGCAAGAGACGTGAGGGGCCGCTTTGTCTAGGCGACGGCGCAGGCGGCGCGGCTGGCTTTGGGCGGCCCCTGACTGATCTCGGGGATATTGGGCGGCGGCGGTGGGATGCTGGTGGTCCTCTCCTGACTGACGATGGGTCGTGGCCGACCGACAGCTGCCGGGCGAAGAATCGACGGTCGCTACCATCAACGCGGAATTGGGGCGGCGACAGGGAAAATGGCACGACAGGCAACAATACATCACCGAACTTGTCGTCACAAAAAGGCGCGCTGTCTCCATCACGGGCTTTAACAAACGTTTGGTGTTTTGATAACGTGACAGCGTAGGTCTCAGGATTTTACGAAGCCACATATCCGTAGTCATCTATCTTTGCCGCCAATCGCTTTCAGAGCCCTGCGTCACTCAATTAAAGTACATCACAAAGTCAAAATCCAGCGAAAGTGAAAACGCGAGAAAGTGACGCTGCAAATATGTGTTGGTTTTATGCGGTGGCACAGATGCAAACGCATGGACATAACCCGCACTCAATGTTTGATCTCCACTTGACATTGTCAGATGATCGGGCGTCTACTGCCCGGTCAACAGTCGCGGCCTTTGACGGGAAATGTGCACCTATATATACGTCAGCTTTAATATCTCCATTGGACACGGTCCCGGACACGTTGGACACGGTCCCGGACACGTTGGACACGGTCACTGACTTTGACGTGGCTCATTACCCCACCCCTCGAGCTCCCGACATTTACACAGCTCCGGTATATCCGAGCTGCATATGCGTGGTCAAGTATACCCGACCAAGCTGTAATTCACCATGGAAGTTGTTCACGCGCGGCTTCATCTTTTGGGTCCCGATAAAACAGAAGGAATGAAGGGAACTCTAAAGCTCCAAGAGAACGTTGAACCAAGGTCAATAAAGTGTGTTTTTAGAAGAATAGGTTTAGGCGTACCAGTAAGGCAAGCGTATTCGTGATGAGCCAATCCGGTGCAAGACGGGCGAGATAATAGCAAGTGTCAGATGTCATTCACTCACCTGTAGGTGACGCCAAAACTCACGTGGGTGAACCCGGTGACGTTTGATGAATCGTGCAAGGAAGTTGTATTATTTTATTGCAAGGTACGTGTTTCGCTAACGTATGGATGATAGAGGTTTATTGCTGCGGCATTTTCGCGTCAATTTACGAATTACACGGCTCGCAATATGGCTGGCTTGGATTCTGGCCAGGCCTAGCCATTATATCCAACTACATCGATCAGTTTGTAATGATTAACGTGTTTGGGACAGTGACCAACGTAACGAGCGGAACACCAGTGTTGTGGGCATTAAATGTGAATAACAGCTTTCCGCCTGTTTGGTTCGCATGACCAAGTATGCCTTGGTTTAGGTCACAGCGAGTTGTATCGTGATCACTTTCGGAAAACATGGCGTTGGCTGCTTCCGGTTAACCACCGACGCACTTCTGGATGGGGCAGTGCCATGTCGTTTGGTGGTTGTCGTTGGAATTTTCGACAACGCCGTGAATTCGGCTATATGTGCTTACCTGCTCTGGTGGGAATGATCTGACCGCAGTCTTCAAAGACGTCGAGGAGCAGGCAGCTCCATCCCTTACGCTTTAGCGGATGTGACCGACCGCACGTCCACGCTTCGCCACGGCAACAATTGTTTCTTTCTCATTAAAAATGCATTGCTTTTGTTAGTTTGGAAGAACAGTTTTGGGCTCTGGGCCTGTCTTTGTGTCATGTGGTTACGATGGCGCGCTGACGGTGTCAGGCACGGCGGTGGCAACTGCGGCTTTTTCGTACCTCACAAACATTACGCTTCCCATGCAAACGAACGGGAACCTCGCTCAAATTGCAGTGCTGCAAACATACCGTCTCTGTACAAACAGGCTGTACACCAATGCCTTAAAACCGATACCGGGTCACATTCAAAGAATTGCGCTCCTTGAAAAAACGCCTGAAGCTGTGAGGGATGATGGTCAAGATATTAAAGTTTGGAAAACCCAAGGGTAGCAACGCTCACACATTTTTTACTGTTTCAGTAAAACTTGCTATGCCTGCGGCATCGTTTATGTAAAGATATACGAATAACTGAAATAGACACATTTCTTCACATTTCCAAATCATGACAAGAGGCTATAGACACTCGATCTTATCGAGAAAACAACCACAGAAGTCTCATGCAGCGTGGATTGAGTGAAGCGGTAACAAGTATGATAGTTGTTAGAACTAATGCTCATCTTAGCCCGGTCTTTGGTAACATGCACCTGATAACACCGGGTAATCGTGTGGATGATGCTGAAGATTGAGCTGACGTAGACAGATACTTTTGGCAACCGATGCCAAGTGGTTTCATTGATGCATCACAGAATATATATATCTTGAACTCAGGGGCCGGCTCGCGCGATAGGGAAATGTTCGGGAGATGTAGTGTGAGGGGGTGGGGGGGGGGGTTGAATTGTATGGGTTTGAGTGATATCTTACTTTTCGTCCTCAGCCCTCTTCCGTGCACTTGCTGGTAGCGCTACAATACTCAGGCTGCGCGCATACGCTCGGTCTATGGCAGCGAGGTCACCATGGCTCACCGCACCGGGCGCTGGCCTGTACCGTTTCCGGACGGCGGGGCGGGAATGAAGGTGCACGTCCGCCCGATGTCCGATGTCCGCATGTCTGCGTCGGTGCTGCTGACGTCTGACCGTCTGCTACCCTTACGGCCTGCTGCTGCTCCTGCTGCTGAGCTGTTGCTCCTGCTGCTGAACTGTCGAACTCCTGCTGCTGAGAGGCTGACCAGCCCGCTGCTGCTCCTGCTGCTGAGCGGCCGACCGGCCTGCTGCCGCTCCCGCTGCTAAGAGGCCGGCGCGACCCACCGCAGACGCAGAGCCGCTAGGCGCTGCACACCGTTTTCCACGTCTTTCCTTCCCCGGTCGCTCGGCTCTCTGAAGCTGCCGCCACTCCGCATCTCGCGACTGCAACGCTTGACATGCTTTAGCACATTGAGTGACACCTTTTCTCTTACTCGTGTCGCTCTTACAGCTCTCGCCAGCTTGCCATCGCATTGGGCTCGTTACCTGTATTTTTCACCGTCTCCATCAGCATCTCTTCGAACAGCTAAGTTGTGAGGCCGCCGCCGACTCTCTCTTGCTGCATCCGAGCGATGTATACGGTCACTTCGTCAAAAACAAGCATTGTTCACGGAGAATGGGCACTCACGTGGGAAACATCGACAGCACAGCAACAGCGCATGCCTGTACATTCCTGATCGTTACTCACACGAGAAGTTTGGATTCATAATGCCAAAAAAGCAGGAGCGGAAGGCCTTTTACTTAGGTCAAAGTTTCCGAAAAAATCAGCGGTTGTTGTCGGTTCGATTGCTGACTCACGTCTGGGTCAGTGCTGATATCCACACGATATCTGTAGCTGGCACATTTTGTTTCGCCTTGCAGTTGGTATCACACCTTGATCTGCAATGGCTGGTTTTTTCTGACTTATATCCTTACATACCCTTCCAAGCCGGTGGATCCCTGGGTGGTTTATAGGTAAGTGCGCGTCCATCTCCACACATCGAACCGAACTTGTGCCAACCTGATCGTCGTGTTTCTACTTTTGCGTAGTGTGCCAGCTTCTGGTTATTGCGGTGCCAGTTTATTTCGATCCTGATACAATTTTAGCTCTTGTTTTACAGCTTTGTCGCGAGTGACAGTGATTTTCCTTTTGCATGTTAATTGAGCCAGAAAGACGAAATCGTGGTCATATTGCAATGCTGCCAGAAGCCCTGCCAGGTCAAACAGCTTATACGCAAATGCTAAATGATGTATGCAGCAGATTTAAGGGTATGCATTTCTCGCGGCTGAAAATTGCGAGAATACGGGATCCTCAATTTCACATATTTTAGACCCTAGAAAATGTGACGGTCGAGCTTGGCCACTGAATTTTGAAATTGTTCCATAGTGCAAGCCAGGGTCACCGGTCTCGCAAACCATATCGCGTGATCCTGTGGTAATACGCAGATGGCCTCGGTAAGAATAACTGCGCTCTGCTGCGCCCTGGATAACAAACATGTACATTGGCGTCATTCCTTCAACCACAGTGACGTCATAGTGGGAAATATGATAAGCTGTTACCCTCAAGGTCATGCACAGTTAGTGGACTACCGTAGACATCTATAAAGTAACGAATGCTTGTGGGTTTCAGCAGATCTAACTTATGTTTTTCTCTCATCTTCATAAAACTTATGCAATCCGCAACGAACGAGGTCCAGCCGTGTGCATCTGATCCCCTGAGCAATCCAATTCCAATACCATCGTGCACGGCTCATTTCCCATCTCACGTGTATTTATGTTGTTGAGAAGCTTGGCTTAACTTGCACACATTGTTCAAACAAACATTGAGAGTCTCTCTGGTCTACGTCTGATAAAAATTCGTAGCGCATCCACAAGAAAAAGAGAACAGTCTCAAAATGTTGCCGCGTTGGAGCACTGGCAAATCTGCATTCAGGCTGAAGAAGATGACTATTGCTGACGTGCTAAACATCATCCTCCCGGACCGTGTTTTATCCCTTTCTCAACCGCCCGTTTCTCTTTCTCGCGCTTAAAAGTCTTAACCATAAATTTTCGCGTATTAAGTTGCCAATCGTTACACTGTCTACTTCTACATCAAGTCTGCAGTATTGGGCGTGACTTAACAACTTGCTGGCATGGGAGCTGCACGGCCTACAGCAGTCGATGCGCCCTAAAACCCCAAATCATCATCATTAACAACCTGCTGGCCAGTGTTCTTTACTGAACATCCTGCGACTATGGTATGTTGTCTGTCATGTATTATGTTCAGACTGTAATAATTTTTCAACGATAAAAATGCAGTCTAATTCTGTGGGCG